CGGTAAATATAATCATGAATAGACAATTGCAACTGCTTCTTTTGCAGGAAAGTACATCATTGTAAAGAAGATGAAAGAGGTGCGAATATTCTACTGTCAAACTTTGGATGTTTGTAGAACTTTGCTAGACTTTTGTCTGACGGGTACCTTATTACTGAGCACAGGCGAATTACGTTTGTGATTACATTCTCGGTGGCCAACTCGATGGATCTAGCTCCACAAAAGAGGAATTCATGGAGGTATGAGCTTATTTGCAAAATTTCTAAATTATCAAAGTCGGTATTGCAAACCAGACAACGATGCTCAAGGGAGAAACAGAAGAAATAGGTTAGTTACTCTACCGTTTTTCACATGACAATCATCTTTTATCCTTGGAGACAAAAACACCTTAGTCTGAGTCTCATGCTAAAAAACCCGCAGGAAAATTAATTGAGAGAACAATGATGCACAAATATGGAGTGGAAAATGTAAATGGACATTTCATCAGCTTCAGCACAATATGCGACGCTACTCAAGTAAAAATTTCCATACCTCAAAAGCATGCTTATAGATAATGCTATCTTCTGTGTTTACACTTTAAAGAAGTGTTTATTCATCAATCCTATTATCTTTTCAGGAGCGACAAGACGCAATCTATGAGTTAGTGGAAGAGAAGATTGACCTCATGCTAGTGGTTGGAGGGTGGAATTCAAGTAACACCTCTCACCTTCAGGAAATCGCAGAGGCACGGGGAATCCCATCTTACTGGATCGACAGTGAGAAACGGATAGGATCTGGGAACAAAATAGCCTTGAAGCTCCACGTAAGTGCATTTCAAAACTAACTCAATCCTTACGAAATTGCTTTCACTCATCTTTACTATTTTGCATTTGATAGTACGGGGAGCTGGTCGAGAAGGAGAATTTTCTTCCAAAGGGACCGATAACCATCGGTGTGACATCAGGTGCATCGACCCCAGATAAGGTAAGAACACATCCGCTGCTGTTTCTGGTCTCTTAGTTCTCCTACAGACATGCCGTGTATAACTTTTTTTTTTGGCAGGTGGTGGAGGATGTATTGGTGAAGGTGTTCGATATAAAACGTGAAGAGTTGTTGCAGCTGGCGGCTTGATTCAGTCTTTTGATCGTATTCAGATATGAACATATTATGTCGAGAGTGTGTACTATGTAATAAATGACAATGTAATTATATCTGTAACTTTATTGTAAGAGAGGTTTTGTAATTCAAAAAGCCAGCATCCCTCTTCATCTTACTCCACTGAATTTTCTTACCGTAAATCGTATTTAAATTGGCACAATACAGCTTAAGACTCTGTAGAGATTGTCACAATTTAACCGAAGAATTAAAAGTTTGGTTTTGGGGTCGTCGGTATATAACCGAGAGATCGGAGACCATCCCTCTTTTTTCCGTTGACGGAGGTAAATTTTGTCGGCGGCCAATGTGGGCTGAGTGATGAGAAAAAACCCTGATTTCAGGGATTAGAGAGGTGTTTGACAAAAAAAAAAGATTCGAGCAATGAGCGGAGAGAGAGCACAAGAAGACCCTGCTTCGTCTTCGGGGTGTTCAGAGTCCTACGAGTTTAGCCACGCTGCAGTAGCTCAGGTCTGCGAGAGCGTCGGTTACGAGCATTCCAAAGATCCAGCTCTCGAATCTCTAGCTGGATTCGCACTCCAGTACATTCTTCAGCTAGGTAAAACTGCTACTTCCTTGGCTAATCTAACTGGTAGGAGTCACTGTAACGTGTTCGATATCATTCTCGCTTTGGAAGATTTGACTGGGAATGGCGATGAGGGAGTCTCGTCTGAGAGTTGCTCATTAGGGCGTTCGGTTAAAATTAGGGAAATTATCGATTTTGTGAATTCGAGTGAAGAGATACCATTTTCGCAGCCATTGCCTCGTTTTCCTGTAGCTCTAAGTGATAGGAGTAAGAAGATGATTCCAAGCTTTGTTGAAATTGGTGAAACTCCACCTGCGAATCATATTCCTCTTTGGTTACCAGCTTTTCCTGATCCGCATACATATAAGGAAACACCTATGTGGATTGAAAGGGCATCAGATCCCAGGGGAGATAGGATTGAACAAGCCAGGCAGAGGGGTAAGGCCGAGAGAGTTTTGTTAAGTTTGCAAAGGAAACTTGTCTGTAAAACTTCCTCAGGGAATCGTGTGTGGGGAGATATGGATGGTGTGAAAGAAGAAATCAGAGGAGACGAGGCTGAACTGCCTTCTGTATCGCCTTCTTTATCTGGGGAGAAAGTTGAAACACTGAATAGAGATGGCCTATCAGTAGTAGAGGCATTTGCTCCTGCCATGGAGGCTGCAAGAGATGGCTTTTGCAATGAAGTTCACACTGAATGGAAGAAGAAAAAACCTGTTGCTCTTTCTAAGCTCAGAAGCGAGAAGAAAATTTCTCAGGGAGCCGTTGGATCTGAGTCTACAGATGAAGGGTGAAAATAGACCCATATCATTTGTGCATGATGAGGATAGAGATGACAAAAGAAGGAGAGCGGAGTTCATTTTGAGACGGTGCATGGAGAACCCAGTGGACCTCAATCAGTTGTAAAATAAGTGATTCATCACAGTCTGTGCAGCGTAGTTTTAAAAATTGTGATTTGTAGCCTTTCTTTACAGGACTATGTTATGATTACGAATTTTTGATTGAAAGAATGAGAATTGCTAACCTATATTTTAAGCAGTTGATAAGTCTTTTCATGGAAATGCTTGTTTCATAACTTTATCATAGTGTCAGTTTCATGTCCCATGAGTGAGAGAGTCAGGGACCATTGTGGAAAGAGTTTACTCTTGTATCACTACTATGATTCTAAACCAAGTCAAGTGCTCTGAGGTAAGTTATTTTCTTTTATCGACATGTGTTTTGTTTCATGACGTTTATGCTTTTAACATATCACTGTATCAGAATCAAGAATATGCTTAGTTTACGTCCTTACCTTCTTTCTAACAGAACGAAAACCTTCCTGAAAAATTTGGTCTCCCTTGTTTTCTGTGACCGTGGTTGCTTCTCCTGTCAGAATTGTTTTATGTTTTAGTTGAGGTTCTAGTGATGTGAATCCTTGTCTCTTTTTATTCCGGTCAGAAGTTAAAGATGAAACACAATCCAAAAGCTATCTTTGTTCTGTTTTATCAAAAAAATATTCTGATTGTAAAGTCTCTTATCATTTTTTAAGCACCTGTCTTACACGTTTGCGGTCCAAACTCAGATCAATTAGGTAGAGATAGTAAGTACTACATGGGAGAGATAAGATAGGTTCATAAAGAAATAGCAAATATGATCTAGAGAGAGTATCAAGAAGCTCGATCACGGTCATGTATTTGACATTCAGTACCATTCACTCCACCACAAGAGTCAATGTCGAAGTATGTGCAACCTCCATTGATAAATGGAATTAAATGTCATTCTTGTTTAAGCAGCTTCCTTGAAGTAACTTGGACAACCTTTACGAAGTTCCTTTCTAATACTGTCAACTCTTCTCTCGCCATCTGAGCCATTATAATTCTGGGGCAACCATAGTATCAGATATAAGTTAGTGAATCAAAACAATTAGAAAGAGGACACCAAGGCTAATCAATCAATCAAACGGTGATACCTCCATCATGGCAGATACGAGCCTTGTTGCAGTTTGGTCACCATTTTCTGAACAAACTAGCTGATGGAATGTCAACTGAACCAAAGCTTGCTTTAAGCTTGCGCCAAGGCCTTGAAACTTAGCAAGATGATGTCGAGAAAAACATTGGAGTAGGAAAAGGGCTTCTGCAGATCTGAGCAGCAACTGCCTAATACACTCGATGGAGCTCACCTGCAGGAGGGGAAGACTAACTAATGATTTCCACAACAAACCAATTGAAGAGGAGCAAAGTAACACTAGATTTATTAGAATTCAATAAATCTTACCTCTTTGGCAGCCGCCGATTTAGAAGTACTAATTAGAATCCGCTGTCTTTTATTTGCTGACTCGCCTCTGCTGGAAGTTTCTCTCCATTGTGAGCTAGACTTGGACAAATTAATGTCAGTTTCAACATCAGTAAGATCTCCATAAAGCCCCTTTTTCTCGTCTCTTCTAGACCTTAAGAATCTTTCCACCTTACGAATCTTACTTTCCAACACTTGCATAGCACTGGTAGAAAAACGGAAAGTAACAATTCCGTCTTTAGACATGGTATCAGAACTGGTCTCTTTAGACATCACAGAAAATTTCCATAAGGGAAACAGTAATCTTGATGTACAGAGGCAGATCCCTTCGTGAGCACTTGTGAATGAGGGCTTGGCTTCGTGAAAATTATGGCTCATGGCTTGAAAACCGTTATCTGCTCCACTGGCAACACTGGAACTAACTATATCTTCAAAATCTACTATCCTGGCAGCCAACATCAAGCACATGGCAGCTGCTTCGCCTGCTCCAAAGCGGGTGAAAAAATCTTCTTGAAGGGACCTTGGAGATGGGGATTCCAGAATTGTTCTAAAGATATCAACAGGCCGATTAATAACCAGTACCTCCACACCCACAGTGGTAAAAACAGCAATCTTTTTCCTTGGCAAAATATGCTGGGTCGAAAGATCACCTCTGGCACAGAGTTTTGCACATGCCTTTTCATAAGACTCTCCCGAGACTTTGAGTCCACAATATAATGATTGAACAGTAGCGGCAGTATCAGGAGAGGGGAGTGAATCTGTCGCAAAAAGAAAGCGCCCTTTGATTGGTAGGGAGGACACAACTTCCCGTAAAGCCCGAGAACTTTGCCCTGAACTGCTGTCAACCTGAGATTGCACGGTTGAATCTCTGCTAGCAACAAGAAGAGAAGCCATGCGATGTGGCGATGAATCAGAAAAAACAACAGTTCCTGGAAAATAATATGCTGTTTCAACGTTCATCAAGAGGTCTTCATTCTGAGTTGTTGCTCCGACCGCTTTTGGAGGTGATGGCCTAGTTGAAACCTCTCTCAAACAGTTTGGAATCTGATTTTGGTTGTTGAACACACCAAAGATACTACCACTACGGGTGGTGGAAAGATATATCCTCCTGCCATCTGATATTGCTGCAACAAGGTGCAGACATTTCGATTCTAGCAATGGCAATGGCAAAATGCTGACTATCAACGGCTTGTTAACATTCGTATCCCTCTGCTTTAATAGATTCTTAATTTCTGCCAGCTTCTCAAGATGATCTCCCTCACTTGGCCCAAAAACATATGCTCGAAGTTTCATCTCTTTGGTGAGGGCATATAAAATTTGCCTATCATTATCAATTACCATCTTTCTAACCGGATCTGTAGCTTTAAACGTGAATATTTGTTCTTTAACCAACCTAAAACCAACAGAATTCATCCCAGATTCCAAAATCAATTATAAGAGAGAACAGATAAAGAAAAAAAAAAGATAAAGGAAGGAATGTGAGTACCTCAAGATATTAGGGCCACCAGCAGTGGTATATTGCAGCTCATGAATGTTACCATCAGACCCACCTATGAAAATGCGCCCTTTATTGGTACATGCAACGCATGTAATTGCAATGCGATCAGATGATGTTGTATATAGAGATTTTACTACAATTCCAGTACTTCCTTCTTTAGGCAGGTAGACTCCAAACAGAACCACCTGATGAGAAATTAAAAAAAAAAAAAACACTAATCAGCCATAATACACAAACCTAAATAAATTAGTGATCAGATTGCACCATTGTAAAGTGTCACCTCAACATTAGTTGCAAGCACCAAAATATAATGAGCATTTTTCGTAAAATCTCCAGGTCTACATTTGGCTAGACCAGCCGCACAAATAACCTGCTCCTCCTTCAGGGTTAACTGAATACATTGTCCATTCCTAATTGAAAATCATTTAGCACAATTACGAAAACAAGAAGGCAGCTTCTAAATTTACGTGTAACAAGAAAAGCCAAAATTACTTTCTCTCGAAGGGATACAGGAGAAACGAATGGCTAGAAGCTACCCAAGCACATCGAACATCCGGAAAAAATCCACATAAATCCGCGTGGGCTTTATCAAACATCAAAATAGCTTCAAAAGGATATTGCAATGTCTCTTTCACCTCAATCAACGGCCGCCACTACAACAAAGACAAATTTAAATTACTATACATATCTAAAGATCATTTTTGTGGTGTCGAATATTCCTGAAGCAAACCTTTTCGGGATGAGTCGAATAAGGGTGACTCGCCTGTAGATCGAGCTGCGATTCGGCTTCTAGGTCAATGTGGCTACCAATACAATCTGCCCCGTCCATCACATCAGCCATTACAATTTTCTCCACTTGTGACATCTTGGAATAAAGAGCTGAGACTCGAATTGAAAGCAATCCAGAAGAAAACGCGGATTTTGAACCAATAACCCTAGTGGTTTTTCTCGGGAGAAGTTTCCTATCTGGTTAACCGGTCGAACTTTGTTGTTGCCCGGGTCGGGTCAATTCTTTTCAAGTAATTTTCCATTTGTCCAATAAGACTTACTATGTCAAGGTCTGGTTTTACTTATAATATTCTAAATTCAGTAATTATGGTAATTATGGTAATTATGATTGACCTAAAGAAAAAGAGTTGGTAGCTATGACATAATATTAGAAACCATAATATTTTGAAAGATATGTAGGATTCTACAACTGCTAAAACTAATGCCGTTGCTGCATTGCTACCTCCAGATAATTTCTATTACCATCAATAAATAATAAACGAAGCCATACTGAGGTAAGTAAATTTTCTCTAGTTGACATGTGTTTGTCTTGTTCACAATGTAACATCATGCTTTGAAGGCTTTAACTTTCTATTTGTCTTTCCTGGTTCTAACATTAAAAACCTTGTAAACAGTATTGTGGTTGTTTCTCTTCTGACAGTTTTGGTAAGGTGATCTTGTTAAGTCTAGTGCGTGACTATTGTAAATATCCTAGGGATGGTACAAGGAAGGGTAGTTTTGCCAGCTCAGTAACAGACCTTATGTCAATTAGTTGAGATATATTGTGGGTTGATGTAAGATTTTGGTTTGGGCATTGGTTGAGAGTTATAGACTCTCTCGTTGATCAAGTCTCTTCTAACGTGTAGTTCTTTAGAGTTTAGCAGAAATGAATCCTATCACAGTTCCTTTAACTAACTCCACACTTATGATTTAGATTTGTACGTTTGAGTTCATTTAGTCATTTTAGTATATTAGTTCACCACTTTAGTGTCAACTAGTATATATATATATTTGTCATCAATATCAGCATATATAACTCCTGTCAGAACCATCATTTACTGATAGTCTCAAATGTGAAAAGACTTGTCTTCCTTTGTCAATCATAAAAGAATACTAAAATATGCAACAATCATCCTAAACAGTTTGAGTTATTGAACATTGATATTATCAACTCAGAAAGAATCTGTACGACTGTTTATAGAGTCTTCGAGCATTTGACTATTTGCAGCTGAAAGCTTAAGAAGGGAGAACTGAGTTCTTTTAGCATGTGTATTTTTTTCAGGGGCTGCTACTACCATTATTGGGGTGATTGATGATCCTCTGGAGAATCACAGTCCTTAGCCCTTGTAATATCTCTGCTGCACAAATCCACAAGAATCCCCAGTTCCTCTATATTCTTCTTAAAAACCTCAAGAATCCTCTTAATGGCATTGATCCCCATCTTGACTGCAGCATGCTCCACCGCATAGTCGTCATTCTTATTTATAATCCTGAGGTCAGTATTCAACTCTTGGATCAAAGACCGGATATCATACAAATCCTTCACTGCACCTGTCTTACACGTTTGCGGACCAAACATAGCCGCAGTGATACCCAGTGTCACTTAGGTAGTAGCAAGAGCCGCAGCCACAGGAGGAGCAGACATAGCCGCAGCGACAACAGAGCAGATGAGCACAGTGGCGTAGGTAAGCCACAAAGATGATGCTGGAAAGTTTTCGCAATGTGTGGATGCGCTTGTACTTACATAGCTGAAGCTTCTCAAGCATCTGATCTATCATCGAGAGAGCCTGTGAAGAGAATCGCCACTTGTTCCCAAATCAAACAGAGGATTGGTTCGTTAGCAGCGATAGGCGGGAGCCCTAAGCTAGTGAATCAAAACAATTAGAAAGAGGACACCAAGGCTAATCAATCAATCAAAGGGTGCTACCTCCATCATGGCAACCAGATTTGCTAATTTCATCTGCCTAATTTCAACCAGATTTGCTTATAACTACAAATTGTACTACAAATCATGTTTGCTAATTTAATCTGGTTACAATTGTACTACAAATCATGTTTGCTAATTGAACGAAATAAGTAGTTTTTAAGATATCTCTAGCTAGTCGCAATTATTTCAAATCTGAATAAAAAATTAGATTATTGATGAAAAAATTCGGATCGGAAGTTGGAACCTCTTAAGACATACTGCTCAAGTGCTCATGTTACGTAATGGTGGACCACTCTTGACATGTTTATGCACAAACAAATATAAACGTTTCACGATGGTCATCTGACTCATCTCTTTGTTATGGTTCCAAATAAAATATAAAATAATTAAATGAACGAGCGATATATAAATTTTATTTTGCGGGGCAACCATCCATAACTAATTCACTAGCCTGTGGGGGAGCCTTTCATTTCAAACACTAAAATCTGTCATATACTATATTGTATTCACAAAAATAAAAGTTGGTTAGTTGTTATATAATACAACGTGAACGAGATATGTGGTGATGTAACGAGTTTTGTCATCACAAAGATTCATATAAATTGGAAAATCTGAAACATGTGTCT